CAAAATAACCAATCTAGGAAATAACAGAATTGGAGAATTTTTTTACTGTTTGGCTATGTTCGTCTATAATTTGGCCTAAATTATCTGCAATTCTTGTTTTAATTAGTAATTTATTTGTTTAAATGCAATCTGCAGTTGATACACAGTATACTCGTCCAGCACTGGCTTAGGAAATAATTGCGTATATTTAGTTTATTTTGAAACTAAATTAAACAAGTTTTTGCTACATAAGAAAAATTTAAGAAATTCTAGACTGTACATTAATCAACCCAAAATGCATGCTGTCAGTGACTGATAGTCTTCACTTCTGTTAGTAATAGGCAACAGTGACACCACCAGGCCAGGACGTGTAATGAAAATTGATGCAGATTCGTATTTAAACCCCATTAGCTAGAAATCTGCTACTACTGTCTTATATATGTTAATCAGCATATAGAATACAAAAATACTGCCAAAAATAGAAGCAATATGTTGGTTTTAACCATGAAAAAATAAATAGCAAAATTTTTACATTGCTATTGGTTTTGTTACACATTTATACTTGAGTTGCTAACTCACAAGGTGAGCATGGTAAACCAACACTAATTTGACATCATTGCAATACGGTAACTGCAGAATTGTCGCTATTCTACCCTGTGGTACTATGCAGGTTTGATAGTCATGCAGAGTTCTATTTACCAAGTTCTGAATTTGTTTCATTCAATGTCATTCATGTCAATTCAGATCTAATCTATGTGGTTCACTAAATTCTCATTGAGCAGAATTGGTACCAGAACTTTTCAAATGGGTCAGCGAGATTAATTTGGAAATGGCTCCTGCCCATTGGCAGTGAAATCACAATGAATAGTAATCAAACAGCAACCAACTTTTCTTAGTATTAGGAAAAGAAAAAAAACTCCACCTTGTTAAAAGTAAGGTTTTGGGGAGATCTACTTTTGAAATGTCATTAATAAAAAAGTGAGATGGGAGGCAGAATTAGGATGATTTGGGGTTAGGGTGTTTAAGGCACGGACAACTTTCTTGGTATCCCTCAATACAAAGAAGCAGGATAGGTAAAGTATGAAAATTCAATAGCAATTCAAGGTTCTGAAGGTTTTGAAGTTGTTGAATTAGCAAATGTGTGTAGACTTGACTGATATTAACTAACCAAACAGTAGCCAAATTGAAGTGCAAATACTGCAGAAATATCCATATTGTACTTTTGCTTTCAACTAGATAGGTTTCACACAGCCCGTTTTTGGCTGATACAGATTGGCAATCAAATACCATGCGGCTGAGCTTCAGCATTTGTTGAACAGACTTTCCAATATTTTGGTTATTGTAAAAACCAAAACAAAAAAACCCCACTCTATATTATCCCTTCTGTACTGAATTACTCACATTTAAGAGCAGTAGGAGGAACAGATTAAATGTCAATTAATTAAACATCACCATCTTATATGGTTGTATGTTCTTAAGTAGTCTTTAGGACATGTACCATGTGAGCTTTGCCATAAAGCTATCTATTTTTATATGTATATATTGAACTATTTTTTGTATTCTTTTTACATTTTTACACATCTTGTAGCAGGGCCCAATTTGTATATCTTGGATGCCTGAAGGCCCTGATTTGTTAGTTGTCTTTACTAATATGTCTATAGCTCAAATATCTACCTCAGTATGAAAAGGATTATACATAGATAGAAATTAACTATAGTCTGTTCTGTTCCTTTTCTCAAGGTGATGAAAAGATGCACTGTCTGTGTGAGGGAGGTGTTGAAATTAAGGAGGAGATTTAAAAAAACCCGTTAAGAACAATAATTAATAAGATTCCGGTCTTTTTTAAGGTGCCACTATCAGGCGGCAGCTTGTCTACTGATATTTTTTTGTCACAATCCAGCATCGTTATTTGATCAATAATATTTTCTAAACTTTGTTCATTATTTAATGTATATTTTCAACATGATCACAATCCAAAATAGTTGGTACATTTGTTTGCCTTTAAAATTGTGGAAGTTAAATCATTATTAATGTTAATCGAGGTTTACTTCTGTCACCATTGTTAATCACACAAAATTAACTAACTTTTATTAACAAAAATAATAGATACGTATTAATCCAAGCTGAAAAAACTTAGGTCTGAGTTCAACCTTTAACACATATCTTTATGTGCTGTTTAATCAAAAGAAGGCTAAGAAAAAAAAAATCAAGTAGTTTTCTGATCTACCGTTTTCACCCCTTATTTAGTGAATTAGTGATGACATTAACCTTTTATGGTACAGACTGACATATGATATGTATTAGACTTGCATATGGTGGAAAATGTATTTCACCTGAACCACTTCATTCACAAATCAAAAAACTTTTTGGTATGGCAGAAATTCATGCATGTGAAATGTATATATTTTGCAGTACACGGATACAAACATTTTCCCACCATTTTGTTCAGCGATCAAGTGAGTAAAAGTAACTAATGGAGGAAAAAGAGGAGGAGCAATAAAAAATATATAAGCTATTTAATAGATCTATATTAAATATATAAATGCAGATTTATTTTTTATTTTTGCTGCTATTGCTTTTTCCCTTTATTTGTCACTTCTCACTGTGAATAAAATCAACATTCAGTGGCTACTTCATCAATCATCTTTTTTCCCATCAATCTCTCTGTTTTTTTTTCCGTCATAGGTGGAACTCCGAATCACAACTCAAACGTAGATGCTCGTCCATTGTTCAAGTCATTTGTTTCACGATTAATCGGAAATCTGGAATTCAGATGATCACCTTCTCTGCCCAAATTCGAACTAACTGCAGTCTAATATGTATGAATCTCCAAGTCTAATATCTATGTATTTATTTATATATAAGCATGTTCAAATCAGACATTCTGGGTATAGTATACATGTGTATGTGTTGTTTTATCAATATTCTATATTATATTAGTGTAAAAATACATGTATCAGCTCGGGCTAGGTGTTTGTGGTGTTTGTTCCGCTTATGAGCACATGCTTAAGTTAATTTTCCCTTACATTTCTTTATATTACTTGGTTGAAGTGTTCTCTGTGACTTTTAAAGAACTTTTGAAATAGATATGATAAATTTGTTCTGTCAATGTGGTGATAAATCTTTGATATAATCTCTTTAGCTTGAATTCTTAACATAAGGTACAGGAGTAGAACTTTTTTTGTGGTCAAGTGTGTTGTCAAAAAGTATTGGTGGGATTGGGATTGTGTCGACATTGCTAATGTGACGATTATTATTAAATGATAGATTGAAATGACTGCTCCCAATTAGTGATGTCCCGAACTGTTCGCCGAACGGTTCGCGAACTGTTCGCCACAAACGGTTCGTGCGGACTCCAGTCAGTTGACACATTCCAGCCAATCAGCAGCAGACCCTCCCACCTCCTGGACAGCTCACTAAGAATGCAGCTTCAAAATGGATGCTGTCCAGGAGGTGGGAGGGAGGGTCTGCTGCTGATTGGCTGGAATGTGTCAGCTGACTGGAGTTCGTGGCGAACAGTTCGCGAACCGTTCGGCGAACAGTTCGGGACATCACTACTCCAAATTTATCATTAATACAAGATAGCAAAAGGAAAAATTGATCTAACTTTGGCACTGCGAAACATCTGATATTGCATAGTCATTAGGCCAGGCAATATTGTAGCCATTTTTGCATGTTAGCACAGTTTTAGGCAGCATTCTTTCTCTTGTTTTGTCTGCTGGAATTGTCTTCCCAATGCTTTTTCAATACTGAAATTCAGCCTAGCAAAAAAGTAGCTCAAACTAAATTCTGCCATCACAAAATATTTTATTTCCCTCTGGAAGTTGTTCTGAAGAACCATATTTTTCTGCCCTGTACAAGTCTAGTTTCTATCTCTCCCACTGTATAGCTCTTCTCTCTGGACAGTCTTATTCATCCCCATCCCCCACAACAGAAGTGGAGATGGATATAGCTGTGCCTGTGACTTCAGTCACAGCATTGTCTAGTAAAACGTCCCTGGTTATGCTGGCAGGCTCAATAAATGGTGGAGTATTGCATGGCTCTCTAACATTAATGAATATGGAAGATAGATAGACAGATTGATCGATTACAGTGATCCTCAGAAGATCACATTTCAAGTGAAAATGGCAATTTAAACTTAAAATAAGATGGAGTAGTAATTTATTTTTATACATAGTGTATCCGTTTGTAAATAGTTGTACGTAACTCACATTATCTAAAAAATCAGGCAGTGTAAACATTTCATGATTAACACAAAGTATATAAATAATGAAAAGCAGTCATTCACAAGGAATTTGAATGATGTGGACTAGGAATGACAAGGAAATGACCAATCACCTCTGTAAATACAAGAAACATGAACAACCCAAAATATGACACTTCCTTACCAACCAAGCAGAGACTAAATAATTGTGTGTTGAGTCTATCATGACGGGAAGCACACAGAGGTGCAGGAAAAGGTTTTACATGTGAAATATTAATTTAAGAACAGCTGAGATATCATGCTGAGTGTGACGTGCCTCACAATGTAAATTTGTGTATTAAATAGAGTCTGCATAATCACTTACTATGCTGAGTAATAATATATGTGTTTCAGAAACAGACTATTACATACAGGTGATACTCGAAAAATTAGAATATTGTGCAAAAGTTCATTTATTTCAGTAATGCAACGTAAAAGGGGAAACTAATATATGAGATAGACGCATTACATGCAAAGAAAGATAGTTCAAAACGTGATTTGTCATAAGTGCGATGATTATGACTTACAGCTCATGAAAACCCAAAATCCACAATCTCAGTAAATTAGAATATTGTGAAAAGGTGCAATAGTCTAGTGTCCCACTCTAATCAGCTAAGTAAGCCATAACACCTGCAAAGGGTTTCTGAGCCTTTAAATGGTCTCTCATTCTGGTTCAGTAGGAATCACAATCATGGGGCAGACTGCTGACCTGACAGTTGCGCAGAAAACCATAATTGACACCCTCCATGAGGAGGGAAAGCCTCAAAAGGTAATTGCAAATGAGGTTGGATGTTCCCAAAGTGCTGTATCAAAGCACATTAATAGAAAGTTATGTGGAAGGGAAAAGTGTGGAAGAAAAAGGTGCACAAGCAGCAGGGATGACCGCAGCCTGGAGAGGATTGTCAGGAAAAGGACATTCAAATGTGTTGGGGACTTTCACAAGGAGTAGACTGAGGCTGGAGTCAGTGCATCAAGAGCCACCACACACAGACGGATCCTGGACATGGGCTTCAGATGTCTTATTCCTCTTGTCAAGCCGCTTCTGAACAACAAACAACGTCAGAAGCGTCTTACCTGGGCTAAAGAAAAACAGACCTGGTCTGTTGCTCAGTGGTCCAAAGTCCTCTTTTCTGATGAGAGTAACTTTTGCATCTCATTTGGAAACCAAGGACCCAGAGTCTGGAGGAAGAATGGAGAGGCACACACTGCAAGATGCATGAAGTCCAGTGTGAAGTTTCCACAGTCTGTGTTGATTTGGGGAGCCATATCATCTGCTGGTGTTGGTCCACTGTGCTTCATTATGTCCAGGGTCAGCGCAGCCATCTACCAGGAGATTTTGAAGCACTTTATGCTTCCTTCCGCAGACGAGCTTTATGGGGATGCTGACTTCATTTTCCAGCAGGACTTGGCACCTGCCCACACTGCAAAAAGCACCAAAGCCTGGTTCAATGACCGTGGGATTACTGTGCTTGATTGGCTAGCAAACTCGCCTGACCTGAATCCCATAGAAAATATATGGGGCATTGCCAATAGAAAGATGAGAGACATGAGACCGAACAATGCAGAAGAGCTGAAGGCCGCTATTGAATCATCCTGGTCTTCCATAAAACCTCAGCAGTGCTACAGGCTGATAGCTTCCATGCCACACCACATTGAGGCAGTAATTACTGCAAAAGGGGCCCAAACCAAGTACTGAGTCCATATGCATGCTTATACTTTTTTAGAGGTCCGATATTGTTCTATGTACACTCCTTGTTTATTGATTGCATGTAATATTCTAATTTACTGAGATTGTGGATTTGGGGTTTTCATGAGCTGTAAGCCATAATCATCACACTTATGACAAATCACATCTTGTACTATCTTGCTTTGCATGTAATGCATCTATCTCATATATTAGTTTCCCCTTTTACGTTGCATTACTGAAATAAATGAACTTTTGCATGATATTCAAATTTTTCGAGTATCACCTGTATGCTCTACACTCTACAGATTGTAACATCATCATTTAGATACAGTTAGTGATTCCATTATTAGGCTTTCCTTCTTTGGGTAAATTTGCCCCCAGAACAGGAAGTATTACTTTACTGAGAGGGTAATGGCAGCATGGAATAGCCTTCCAGCAGAAGTGGAGAGGTTAACACAGTGAAGGAGTTTAAGCATGTGTTGGATAGGCATGCTTGGGATAGGCCATCCTAGATATAAGATAAGGCCAGGGACTAAAGAAGGTTTTTAGAAAATAGGACAGACTAGATGGGCCAAATGGTTCTCATCTGCCGTCACAATCTATGTTTCTATGTCTATGTTTCTAACAACATGAAGTCATTAATTCAACAAGACACTGGAAACATTTCTTGGAGATGTTGGTCTATATTCGCATGATGACATCACACATTTACTTTACATATGTCAACTGAACATGTATGCTGTAACTTTTCCTTCCCAGCACATTCTAATGGTGCTCTAAGTGATTGAAGTTCAGTGACTTTGGTCATTGGATTCACTGAAACTCATTGTCATGTTTATTGAAACTGTGCTTGATAGCCTGACTTTTGTGACATGGCATATTATGCTTCTTGAAGTAGCCTTGGACTATTGGTTATGATAAGACTTGTGCACTGCGAGATATTTTGGTTCTTCTGAATAATTTTTCAGGACACTTGAATTGTGTCCAGATATTACTCTGGAAACTTAATTCGGAGAACAAACGAAAAAGATACGAAAATGGATCGATCAGTGTGCTGTAAAGTCTATATCTAATAAACTATTACGTATATATTTGAAGAACATTTATTTCTGCCATTTGTATCACAGATCAAGTGAGGAAAAACAGCAGGAGCAGTGAAAAAAATAAATCTATATTTACCCTCCTTATTAACCCCCTTACTCTTTCCCGAACATGTTCATCATTGCGTGGTTCAGTTAATTCATAATTTGGGTATTACTTGGCTCGGAATCAGGTAATTTACTCAAACATACAATCAATATTCATCATAATAGGTAACATTTGCCAATCACCAGTTTTGGTGTTCTTGTGCCAGACGCAGTCTCCTGCAGAAAAATTAGGGAAAGACAACAAATTGGAAAGCAAGTTTATATCACAAAAGAAATATATAAGGTCTCAAATGACAGTAGTTTTAAAATATAAAGTAAACTTTATACAATATCTTAATGTAAAAAAGTTAATTTCTAATTAGGAAATGGCACATTTATACAATGGTTAATTTGTGGATGTGGTAGCTGTAATACAATCTTTAATTATAGAGAGAAATTAAATGAGATGTTTAGTACAAATAACAGGGCCTCTTTATGTTGAAAGATACAAAAAGATCTAGGCACATAACTGCATCTAATTTGACTGTTATAAAAAATTCTACGCAATCTGCAGCCAGCTTTTAATAATACTTAACCTAATTATAAAATAAAAATCTTATCAATAATATCTAATATGAAATTATATTAATAACTGTAACGGATCACCTGGCACCCCGACTGGGTACCTCCGTTGAAGGATGCTCCTAGCGCTTCCTGCGGACTCCAAGCACTGCAGCAGACACCACAACCACAGAACCGTAGAAGCATATGAATGCTCTCAAGCATATGAATGCTGTAAGCAGCTGAACAGGAAAAGCATACAATCAGCTTACACTCCTGGCAATCAGCATACAATCCAATTCCCCCAATAATGAGAGGACACTTCGTTTTGAGGTCAAGCAGAATTGACTGTACTGGCACATACAGCTTCTTTTATTCACAATCCACAAAGATAGTACTGCCCACAGGGTTTTGAAATACAACCAATCAATCCGTACAATACACACAGACACTCCCACACAAAATCCTCCCCTCTGCCTGTGATATGATTACTGAACACAATGGTTAATCTAATTATCACAGGCAGAGAAATACAGTATCATGAAACACATCACAGGGACCCCAAAACATGCAATAACCCCATAAAAAGTATATCCTCGGAACCGAGGGATCTGGGTGAACCCAGATCCGTTCAGTAGTTTGGAAGATGCAGTTTAATGCAGATTCCGCAGAACATATACAGGCTATATGAAAAATAATTACTGTATAATGTGTCCCCTGTTGTATAGTTTAAAACTACTGCACGATGTCTCTGTGCACCAAATACTGTCGAGATGGCACCATGTAGAAAGGTCCAAACAGTGTCTGTGAGTTAAAATGGCCACCATCCATTGTTCTCACCATGTGCTTCATCCATTGTTCTCACCATGTGCCTCTGATACCTGAAATGGTGGCCACCCAATAACTCCACAGTATGTCCCCAGGTGGTTCTTAAAGGGCCAGCAGCAGCATAATAAAATACAATATGCCCAAATACTGTATTTAAAGGGCCAAATCTCCCAGGGGCCATAGTCAGCAGGCAGGAGGCGGGTAAACAGGCTTCTTAAAGGCAGAGTATAAAAAAAAGACTTTACACTCCTTGCTTCATACAATCAAACTTGTTTTTTAATGAGGCGAGCAAGCTATTTATAGTACAACAAATACAGTAATAACACAGTCTAATGTAACAGAGCACATTTTATGCAGTGAGGGCCCTGGTGCAAGAAATCTTTTTGGGGCCCCCTCAAGGGTTACCAAATGGTAGATCCTTATCTGTCGTACAACTCCCACAATGCTATAGCAGTTTAGGATTTGCCCATCCTATCATTTCATTATTTTCCCAATACATCAAAGACAGTGACATCCAGGAAGTTCATATTTCTTTTTGTCAACATTTTATAAAATTAAAAGTTATGAAATACCTGACAATTTTAGAATAGTTTTGGAAGTTGACCATGGCCTTTCCAGATGTTCTCAACACCTTCTGCCTTCACCGGATTCATTGTATTTTAGTTTCCCACCCAGTGCATTTTGATTTCTCATTCCAGGACAGCTCTTCAGCTGATGACCCCAGGCCACACATGATGTTTCCCAATTCTTCTTTGTTTAGTGAAACACAGCAGGCTAAAAATAAGGCAAACAAATAAATATGCCACCCAGAAAAAGGCTAAGAAATACACACAAGTACTGTTCGCAAGCTTTAAAATACATTCAAACGCCAATATAAGTATACATCAATTATTAACTTCCGTCTTTACATTTTTAGTCAAATCTTTCAGTTGGCTATTTTAATAGTGAAAAACCTTTTTCACTAGCTAACTTAAAGCTATTTAATTTTTTATTTATATATATATATTTTTTTAGATAGACAATAATAAATATATCCTTGAAGATTTAAAAGAAGGTAAAAACATATCTTAATGCGGGATAAGCACGGCAGACCATGCAGCTAATTATAGAGCACCAAAAAAAGTTACAAAATAAATCACTTCCCACCAATTTTATGTTTAAAATGTATGATATGATTAATTTTGTTTACTCATTTGATTTTTTTGGGCATTCTTTATTTTTGGTAGGTCAAAAGCATAACAAACAATTACATCTAGATATTTCATAGGAGTATAGGTAACAATGCTGAAATACAGACAGAACTGGAAATGTCAGAATACTGCACTTTTTTTGTAATATATATACTGTACGCCTCCACAGAATTCCCCGGAGTCAGGGCCATTGCGTATCTCGCTGCCAAAGTGTCTCAAAATCACCAAAATATGGCATCTAATATCTGCAGGTAGTGCGCTATAGAGCCCTGGTAACCCCATGTGGGGTGAGCAGGCCTCTGTGAGCATACCGCCTCCGCCATCTTGAAAAAATTCGTGGTAGTGAAAGGAGAAACTGTGTTCAACCCCAGGATGCTGCTTGAGTCAGGGGTACAGACCAGTGGGGACTGGGATAACTTCCACCGGTCCAGGGGGAAAGAGGGGAAACACTGTGGGACTCTGTGAGAGGGTGAAGCGCTGTGGGACAGTAGATCATCCGCTTCTCCCGCCCACTGTACACACTAGGCCTCAGGAACTCTGCCCGAGAATATTGAGTCAGCATAGCTGGAGACCAGACCAGGTTGTTCAGTTTGGTATCAATAGCAGGTAGGACACTACCGGTTTTGGTTGTAAGTGCAGTGTGTCACAGGATACCGCTTAAATGGATGCATTCAGTGAGGAACTCCTGCTAAGTGCGACCAGCAGCCATGAGGTTCTGGCCCTGCCCCTACTAATTTTATTATACCACAATGTAATTATTTAAAATGTAAAGAAACAAAATATAATCTTGCCCATGACCCTTATTAATGTTGTGCGTTAGCTCAGAAAATGTGGCATTACCATGCTATGTGCTACGAAACGTATTTTATTAAGTGTAAAAAGTCTAAATGGCCTGTACTGACCAGGGCAAAACCGCCTTGTGCTGTACGGGACCATCAAGAATGCAAAATTCAGACACTGTTCACAGTATCTATCAATATCTGGATTTTGAGTTGTGAGCTCAAAATCAGCCTCAATTTAATCTAGATTACTGTTTGATGGGGCTGGGCCTTTAAAATAATAGTGAAGGACTATGTCCACCTTGTGCAAACACCTGTGGGTTTAAATTAAATAATGGGTAGGAGCTGGACAGATCACTGTACTTCATTAAAGGCAATGGACAAGTCCATTTGAACACCAGCTAGATCTTTCCACTGAGGGAAATGTGAGGCAATCCTTATATTATTAAGCATTGAAATGGTCCCAGGCCTGTACATTAAGACTGTTACTGTAATTTTCAAGAATGTCACCCACCACTGGTAGAGTCATATATAA